ATTTATACAGCAGTTAACAGTGCTTAATAGTGCTTAGTCATTTAGTATCCATAATATTTTGAATATTATTTTATTACCATTTTATAGATACAAAAATTACAGTTTGAGAAAGCTAAAAAACTTCGTTGAGGTTGTGTTATAAATAAATGGAGAAGTGAGCATCAGACCTAGGACTGATTTCAAAGCTGTTTCTAGCAGAAGTGACTGATAATCTTTTCCTTGTGATTTTAATATTAAACAAGCTTTTTAGCTGAGATGCTTTTTCAAAAACCAGACAGCATTGTCTCTGTGTCCCAGAAGTAGCAGAATGGCATCATATGTAGGAAATGCCAGTCTAAAGTAATAGTTTATGATTGCTTCTTTTAGCATTTAAGAAGATTCTGATGCAAATTATAGTAATACCTTGGTTCAGGAACGTTTCTGCTTACAGCTGGCTCGGTTTGCAAACTTTGTGTTGGGTAAGAAACATGACATGGCTGCCTTCACACAAACAAAAATGTAGCTATCATCCCCCAAATTATAAAACACATTGTTGATAAAATGAAGTATTACTCACTATATTTTAAATAGCTTTGCACTGTTGGCAGTACCATTGTGCTTTTCTCTCTCTTTTTTTTTTTTTTCGACTTTGGTGTTTTGAGGGTCTTTCTGTGTCGTCCAGACTAGCCTCCACCTCCCAAGTGCTAGAGTTACAGGTGTGCATTGTACTTCCAGCTTCTTTGAGTCTTAAGACAGGATCTTGGCCATGTTGCCTGTGCTCCTTTCAAACTCTTGAGCTGTTGCCTCAGCCTCCCAAGTAGCTGAGACTGAAGTTGTATGGCACTACCCCTAAAAAGGCTTTATATTTTTAGATGGTTTAGTAATCAGACAAAACCTTTTACATTTTTATGTGTTCTACAGATTTTTCTTTTCTTTTCTTTTCTTTTCTTTTCTTTTTTTTTTTTTTTTTTGAGGTGCTGGGAATCAAACCCAGTACCCAGCTTATGCTAGGTAAGTACTCTCTGCTACTGAGCTACATCCCTAGCCTAGATATTTCTTCTGGTGTTTGCTTTTACTGTTTTCTGCTGTTGCCTGTAGGAGAAAAATACTTCAGTGTGAATTTTTTTTTTTTTTAGAGTTTATGGTCACCTGAATGCTAGAGAACTTTTAGTTCCTTAAGATATACTTTAACATCAATACAGCATTTCTCCAATCCTTTTTTCAAAAGTTAACACATTTAAAATCATCTTTATTGGACCTTCATGGAAATGGCAGAATAATATAGGCAAGATATGGTAAGAAAAGTGAAGCAAAAAGACTGCAACAGTAGCATGAAACTGCTGAAGTTGAGTAAAAATTGATCATGTCTATACTATTTAATCCTGTGGAGATAATAAGAGAAGGGGAAAGTTTCCATACTTCAGAAATTTATGCATCTCATAGTTATTCTAGAAATCTGTTATCACCTAGGGAGAAAGAGCTAAATTATGTTTTAAGTACCTATAATTAAAAGAGGTATTCTTTAAGTGGTAGGGTATGTGGGGCATGGGATAGATGTAGAAAATTAGGTAAGGCAACTGTACCACAATTAAAGAAGAGTTTTTGTGTTACAGATCAAACCCAAGACCTTAAGTATGCTAGGCAGTTGCTCTACTGTTAAGCCACATTTCCAGTCAGGAGAGTTATTTTTTAAGAGGGAAGGTGGGTTGAGTCAGGCAGGGTCTCACTATGTAGTGCAGACTGGTCTTGAACTCACAACAGTCCTCCTGCCTCAGCCCAGCAGCTGCTGGGATCACAGGCATATGCTACAATACTGGGCTTTTCTTTTCTTTAAGACACAGTCTCTCTCTAAAGCTCAGGCTGACAGCATCACCACTACGCATGCAGCACCACTCTGCTGAAAATACCCTCTTTTTTTTTTTTTTTTTTTTTTGGTACCAAGAATTGAATTTAAGACCTTGTGTTTACCATGCAGGCACTTGTGCCCCTGAGCTATGTCCCTGGCCCCAAAAGATCTTTTTTTTTTTTTTTTTTAAGTTCACATCCTTCAAGATTGAGGGACAGACAAGTCCAATAATATAAATATTTCAGGTGGGCATGGTAGTCCATACCTATAATGCCAGCATTGAGGAGACTGAGGCAGGAGGATCACTGCAAGTTCAAGGTCAGCCTGGGCTATACAGCAAGACCCTGTGTCTTTAGGAGGAAAAAAGTAAACATTTTAAAGTGAACAGTTCAGTGACATTTAGTATATTGTGTGTGGTAGTACAACTAGTGTCTCTATTTAGTTCCTAAACATTTTCATCACCTCAAAAGGTGATGAAAAAGAATACATATTTCAAAAGAAATATGTATTTATTAAGCAGTTATTCCCTGTCTTCCCAGCTTCTGGTAGCTACCAGAATCTGAGTTCTGACTGTGTTTCTGACTCTGCATTTACGTATTTTGAATGTTTGTAGAAATGGAATGACACAATATGTAACCTTTTGTGTTCATCTTTCATCATGATCACACTTAACCAACAATTTTAAGATTTAGGTTACCATCTGTACTAAACTTCAGGTAGTACTGATGACCAGCTTCTTGTAAAATCCTTTCACTTTTTGTTTTAGAATTTGTGGTAATGGAAGTAGTATCAGAGCCGTTTCATTTGCCCACCTTTATCTTTTGTTTCATTTTGTTTTATGTGGTGCTGGGTATGGAATCCGGGATCTCACATGAAAGACACATATTTTCCCAAGTGAGCTACATGCCTTGTGCTCATCTTCCTTTTATTTTAAAATAGCAGAATCCTTTCAATTTGGGGTATGGTAGTTGTATTCACTCACACATTGACAATTTTCCCATTTAGCGTTATTCCATTTTTAAAAGTACTCGGTTAAAGGTATTTGTGAACATGAAATATTACTGGAAAACTTGGAAGCCATAGTTTCTCGCTTTTTTCACCAGCAGATATGAACATATGAGACATGAGAAACAAGGTGCTGGGGGTTTAGCTCTGCAGCACAAGCACCTGCCTGGCAAGTGCGAGCTCATGAGTCTGGTACCAAAAAAAAAAGAGCGAAAGAAAGAAACAAAGTGCTATTAACTTTGAACACAGGAAAATTTTAAGCCCATCTTCATTAGCAGCTAATGAAATCTGGATCTCCTAGCAGGCATGGGAACATCTTTGTGTAATCCCAGGACACTGGGAAGCTGAGGCAGGAGGATCACAAATTCAATCCTAATCTGGGCAATTTAGTGAGCCCTTGTCATAAAATTTAAAAATTCAGAAAGGGTTAGGGGTAAATAGCTCAGTGCAAAGGCTGTGGGTTCAGTCCCAGTTTAAATACATAAATGAGTGAGTGATAGGCATTATGCATTAGATCCAGAGTAGAATGAAAGAGCAAGAACTGACTACATGTGTGAAGGTTGAGTACAATTATACTGAGTTTAAAGAACATTTTGCTAAAGAATCATCAGTTCACACATGGTATTAGGTTTATGGTACAGATCACCATTAGGTTTATTTTATTTATTTTATTTTTTTTTATTTTTTTATTTTTTCACCATTAGGTTTATGTGATCCCTGGTCTGAAGGTTTCATGGAGCTTTTTTCCCCTGTAGGGAAACTGGTAACTTCCTTTGGAGCCCATTAATTTCATCATTACATTTATATCAATTATTTGTTTTGATACTTATACTGTCTTTACCTCTGTAACAGTTACAATTTTAAAACATATTGTAGGTTGTAGGGTGATTTGAAAACTAAAACCATGAAGAAATTTTTATTATGTTGCATTTTTCAGCTGTGCAGATGGTCTCATGACAGATGACCTTCCTTAGAAGTTTCCTATAGCCTTATGCATATATTGCCTATATTATTTGTTTATGACTTGGTGTCAGTAAGTGGTCAGTTTGGTTTTAGAAAGCTCAGTTCTAGTTAGGATCTCTAAAGTGGTAGAAAAATTACCCTACTAGTTGTCTCCATATTTTTTCTGCTTTAAAATACTTGGTACATCATACTTTTTTTTTTTTTTTTTTGAGACAGGGTCTCACAATACAGTTCAGGCTAACTTTGGACTCACTTTGAATCCCAGGTTAGCCTCAAACTCACAGTGGTCCTCAGCCTCCAGAGTGCTGGTATTACAGGCATGTAATGCCAGGCCATCTTATAATTTTCAGCAGTGGTTATTTGACTGAGAGAAAGATGGTACTTGTAAAATTTTGAAAAAAAAACCACAGGTAATTCTGATACACTTGTGCAGCAGGTTCAAAGATAGTCTGGACTATATAGTGATGAGACCCTGTCTCAAAAAAAAAATATATATATATATATATATATATATTTTTTTTTTTTTTTTGAGACAGGGTCTCTAATGCAGTTCGGGCAGGCCTTGAGCTCACTTTTTAGCCCAGGCTGGTCTTGAACTCACAACAATCCTCTTGCCTCAGCCTCCCAGAGTGCTGGGATTACAGCCACCACGACCAGCTCATGGAATCTTATAAAGCACTTATAGCTTTCTTGCTCTACTGAGTTACCAAGACAAAATCTATAAAAGTAGATAGTATTTGTTGAGCAAATCCAGCTAATTTGATTTGTGCTGACCTGTACATAAAACATTTACAATTTCTGTGAAGGAAAGGTATTAAAGCAGAGAATAAGCATTGTTTTATTGATACATTTCAGTTACTGAAAACTAATGGTAATTGGCACATTTTTTTTTTTTTTTTTTTTTTTTTTTTTTTTGTCTTTTTCATTTTTTTCGGTACCAGGGATCGAACTCACGACTGCCTGCTTGCAAGGCAGGCGCTTATGCCGCTGAGCTAAATCCCCAGCCCCTTCTTTTCTTTTTTTTTTTTTGTCAATTGGCACATTTTTAAAAAGTAGGTTAAACAGATTTGTTATTTGAAAACCTTAGTTAGCTGCCATTGGTCTCAGTATTGAGGTTTGTGGTATTGAAGTTCTATTTTTACTATATATTAAAAGTAAAATGATGTACAGCTCTTAATTTTTAATAGAACTTAATTCTTTTAAACAGTGTCTGTGGAATCCTCTGAAGAGCAAGAGTTACTGTGTGAAGGTAAAGGTAATTTTTTATTTGATTCCTGAAAGTCTTCATTGAGAAAACATTTATGGTAACACTATTATTTTATAAATACGTATTGTGTCTTAAACTCTTTTATAGGTTCAAATTCGGCTGTTAGCATGGAACTTTCAGAACCTGTTGGTAAGAATTTCGATCATATTAATACACTAATATGAAACTTGCTCTTCACTTTTTTTTTTTTTTTTTTTTTTTTTGTCTTTTTCATTTTTATCGGTACCGGGGATCGAATTCACGACCGCCTGCTTGCAAGGCAGGTGCTTATGCCGCTGAGCTAAATCCCCAGCCCCTGCTCTTCACATTTAAGGTGCAAATGTGAGTGTTGTGATGATCAGAATGCCTATGCTTAAGACATTGAGTCTTTGCTGTTAGGATTTGTAAAACAGAACTACTTGGGCATTAATACTACCTTGATAAATTTAGTGATTGGGAAAAAAATAGAGTGGAGGAGTGCTACAGTCAATTTAAATAGTTAATGCTTATTCCATTTACTTTGAAAAATCTTTTCTTTCAGTAATTTTATTACTCTTAGGGGTTTAACGTTCTTGAAATGCTATTAAAGTTGATGCCAAAGTTTTCTTACATAAAAGGGAAAAGGCTGTCCATGGTCACATTTACCTGTAACTCCAGCACCTGGGGGTTGAGGCAGGGGGATTGTCACAAGTTTAAGGCCAGGTTGGGTTACAGTTAGTTCAAGGCCAACCTAAACTACAAAATGAGAACCTGTCTCAAAAAAAGAAAAAGAAAATACATCTCCTAGATCTTTTCGCACTTTTCTCCAATTTTAAACTTTTTTTTTTCTGTCAGGTCATCTTGACATTGAAATCACTGTTAGGAATGTTAGCGTTTCTGTTTCACTGAATTTTTTTTTTTTTTTTTTTTTTTTTTTTAGCAGAAATCAAACTCAGGATCTCATGCTTGCCAGGCAGGGGCTGTGCCACTGAGCTATACCCCTGGCCGAGCTTTTCTGTTATACATTTGGTTTATCCTTGAGAAATGAAGCGTTAATAGAGTGATCTCATAGTCTCTGAGTCAGAGCTCTCAATAACAGTGAGGCCAGCTTGAAAACTATTAGCCATTTCAGTTGTGAAAGAGATTTTCTTGCTTACATGTCACTGGACATTAGGAAATGGAACTTACACATGTGAAGCTCCACTGGTTTTAAAGTACGTATTTTACGATTTAGATAAATCTTTTTTCAGAATATTAAGTTAAAATGTCTGTCTTTAGTAGAAAATGGAGAGACAGAAATGTCCCCAGAAGAATCATGGGAGCACAAAGAAGAAATCAGTGAAGCAGAGCCGGGGGGTGGTTCCATGGGAGATGGAAGGCCACCTGAGGACAGTGCCCAAGAAATGATGGAGGAGGAAGAGGAAATGCCTAAACCTAAAGCTGTGGCTGCACCACCAGGTGCTCCTAAGAAAGAACATGTAAATGTAGTATTCATTGGGCATGTAGGTAAGTAACATTCAGAGTGTTTATAAGAAAAGATCAAAATAATTGGATAGGATATCTTATTTAGCTATTTGGAGATGGTCAGAGAAACTGAATTATCTAAAATGCTTTGCTTTTATATTGTTTGTGGTGCAGAGGATGGAAGGTGGAGGTGGTGATGGCTTTGACCTCAGAGCCTCACACATGCTAAATTACCTTGATTTTGTTTTTTAACTTTCTAGATTTTGTTTAAGTTGGCAAAATAATACTATAAGCACTTCATTGTTGAAAGTTTGGGCAGGTGAATGATTTGCAGACAAGTTGGTAGATAAAACCTACATTTGTATGTAATGTATAATTAATCTATAGTACTAGGCAGGATTTGGTATACTATATGCTAATATCTAGGAAATGTACTACTTATTTTTTTATGTGAATTTTAGTTAGGTTTTAGTGGAATTAATCTTATACTAGTTCAATGGAAGTAAATTCATAATTTGGAGTATTGCTGGGTACTTGGCAAGTTATTGGCTTAGTAAGACATATTAAACAAAACCAGAAGTTCTTTAATTATCTGACATATTCTCAAAATAGTGACAAGAAAATACAGAATTCTGTGTCATTTTTCATTTATGTCTGTCTCCCCATAATAGGAAACACTAAATTTTTTTGGTCTTTTTGAGACGAGGTCTTGCTATGCACTTCAGGTTGGCCTTGAGCTCACTTTGTAACCCAGGATGGTCTCGAACTTCACAATAATCCTGCCTCAGCTTCCTGAGTGCTGGGATTACAGGTGTGCATCACCACTCGGCTAACCTCCTTTTCTTAGAAGAAAAAACTCGTTTGAAATTGGTAAAAGAACACATCCCTATTTGCTAAAATGAGAGAGATACTAATGTGTTTTTTTCCTTGGTACTGGGAATTGAACTCAGAACTTTGCACTTGCTAAGTAGGTGCTATGTCACTGAACTACGTCCCTGACCCTAAGAGAGATAATGTAGCTCACAATTGTTTAGCTGCTGTTTTGATAGCTGAAGGTTGGAGAATGATCTGTTCAGAAATCCTGTTTCCTTATCAGTAAAATATATTTCTAAGTCATTATTGCTTTGCAGCAAGTCTTAGCCACATTTTCAAGGGAAAAAGTAATTAGGCTTTATTCTGCACATTTCGATTATAGCTCAATTGCTTTTGTAAGATATACATGTTACAAGTAACTGTAGTTGTATTTGCATATGTAGCAGTATTTTTTGACCTGTGATTTGCATATTATTGATGTTACTTTTAGATGCGGGCAAGTCAACCATTGGAGGACAAATAATGTAAGTCTATGTCTTTTTTTAAATAATACTATTAATTTTCTTGAGCAAGCTGGGCATGATGCCTGTAGTCCCAGACTTGGGAGGCTGAGACAAGAGGATCATTGTGGAGTTTGAGACCAGGCTGGGCTACAAAGTGAGCTCAAGCCCAGCCTGAACTGCATAATGAGATCCTGTTTCAAAAAGACAAAAAAAAAAAAAAAAAATACTGAGCAAATATCAAACATGGTAAACATTTGTATAGCCTCAAAAGAGATAAAACAGGTCATACTAGGTTAAGAAAAATTAATAAAACCACCTTTAAAGGAAGCTGATACTAAGTAAATTTTGCAGTGTGATCATTGTTTAGGAATTGCCCAAATGTGTTTCTGAAAGCAGTCTTTTTTAGATTTTTATAAAAACTAATACAGAACCCTAGGTTACAAGAAACCTTAGCCTACTTTGAATATACAGATGATCCCTAATTTACGGTGATGCAAAAGCAATATACATTCAGTAGAAGCAGTACTTCAAACTTGATGACTTTTCACATTTTCCCAGTTAGTATAATAATCCCTCATGATGCTGAGCAGCAAAGCAGTGGCAAGCTGCAGCTCTCAGTAAGTGATTACTGGGGCAAACAACTAGCACTCCAGACAGTATACTGTACTTTTTGTACATTGTATATTTTGTGTGTTTTTTGTGTGTGTTTTTATATTGTGTCAACAAAATGCTCATCTGTATGTGCATGAACTGTTCAACACTTTACTATAAAATAGGCTTTGTGTTAGATAATTTTACCCAACTATAGGCTAGTATAAATGTTCTGAGCATAGGTAAAGAAGGCTAGGCTAAGCAGTGTTCAGTAAGTTAAATGTTTTAAATACATTTTCAGTTTTATGATGGGATAGGAAGCAACCCCATTGTAAGTCAAGGAGAATCTGTAATTTATGTGGGGATAGTCAAGGTCAGTTGAATTTCATGAGCAAGGAAACTTTTTTCATTTTTATCTACCTTCTTAGCCCTCTTTGTTTTATGAAATAGTGTCATTAAGTTGCCCAGGTGGTCTTGAACTTGCAGTCTCCTGTCTCAGCCTTCTGAGTATCTGGAATTATAGGCATGTGCTACTGCACCCAGTATAGCATTTACTTTAAGAAAAAAATCTTTTATTCTGAAAAATTTGAGCACTGGTCATGGTGGCACATGCATGTAATCCCAGCATTCTAGGAAACTATGGCAGGATTTTAAGTTCCAGGCCAGCCTGGGCAATTTATTGAAATGCTATCTTAGTAAAGTTTAAAATTTGTCAAGTATGCATGAGGCCCTAGGTTTAATCCCCAATATCACCCTCCCAAAAAAATTTTTTTTCTTTTAACTTAACAGAAAGATTGCAAAAACAGTACAGAAGTCCCATTGACTCTTGACTCAGCAATCCCTAATGTGAGCATCCTACAGAACTATAGTATACTTATCAAAAAACTAGAACATTAATGTTGGTATTCTGTTAAATACAGAACAGATCTTATTTGAATTTCATTAGGTTTTCCACATTTCTTTTTTATATTCTGGAATTTTACATTGCATTTAGTTGTATCTTAATCTCCAAGCTGTGACATTTTCTCAAGTATTTCCTTATCTTCATGATCTTACTAACTTAAGAATACAATGCAGTTATTTCATAGGGTGTAACATCAGGTAAATTTGGATTTACCTGATATTTTTTAAAGTTAGAGCAAGATCACACAGTCGAGGCAAACCTACCACAGAAATGTATTCTCAGTGTGTTCTATGAAGGGTACATAAAATCAGTAATCATGCTTTAAACTGGGTATGGTGGCATATTCCTATAATCCCAGCACTCAGGAGGCTGAGGCAGGAGGATCACTGTGAGTTCAGGCCAGCCTGAACTGTACAGCAAGACCTTGTATTAAAAAAAAATTACTAAATTATTTATTTAGTATATTTTGCATAGTAACAAGTGGTTTAGTAACGATTACTTGGTTGTGGTATTGTATGTCAGTATTCTCCCTTTAAAAATCAGTACTGTTTTCTCTTTATCTGATAATCTGAGCCTGTGTATATTTCCTTTTTCATTTTTTTATGCATGCTTTTTTCACTCAATTTTTCCAGGATTTTAGCATCACCACTGATGATAATTTACTTTTAAAAATAATTTTTTTGGAGTTGAAATTTTCCTTAAAAGTGTTTTCTTCACTAATTTGGGAGTAATTCTGGTTTGTTTTTGTCTTTTTGAATTGTTTTTAGGTATTTGACTGGAATGGTTGACAAAAGGACACTTGAAAAATATGAAAGAGAAGCTAAAGAAAAAAACAGAGAAACCTGGTAAAATTTCTTTATTTATAAAAGAAATACTACCTACTTAATGTTTTAGTAAGCCTATTAAAATATAAACTCCTAGTTGGATATAGTAGTCCCAGTTACTCAGTGGGCTAAGGTGAGAGGATCAGTTGGCCCCAGGAAATTGAGGCCAGCCTTGGCAACATAGTGAGACCCTATCAGTTAAAACAGAAGTAAAACAGATTCTTGAGGTCTAAAGTGGTGTCATACTAAAAGCAAAGTTTCCCTTCCCATCACAATGCATAATGGTAGATTCATTCCTAATGACTTCATAATTTACATAGAGGAAATCTGGGTATTATCCAAATATCTAGTAAGTAGATTTGTTAAATGATGAACCATCCATTTAATTAGGTCATTACATAACCACTAAAAAATTAGTTGTATAAAATTTATATAGGAAAGAATTTATGTTGCCGTGGCACTTGGGGAGAAAGTGAGAAACAACGGCTTAGGATATAGCATCTTAATATAAATAAATATTGGCAAGCAAAAAAGAATAGAAAGAATTATTGATATTGATTACTATCAGTGGTTACTATCAAAAGGTTGCCTCTTTGCTGCTTTGTAATCTTACGTATTTCTTACTTACAGTTTTAAAAGAATTGTAGCTGAGAATGTAGCTTAAGTGTTAAGACAGTTTGCCTCTATGCCTGAAGCCTGGGGTTTGACCCCCAGCAGTACAAAAAAAAAAAAAAAAAGTAGGGGGAGGAATTTGTTCATTCTCAAATATTTGTACTGTTCTGTATTAAATGGAAAATATTCTTTTTTTTTTTTTTTTTTTTTTTTTTGTCTTTTTCCTTTTTACCGGTACCAGGGATCGAACTCACGACTGCCTGCTTGCAAGGCAGGCGCTTATGCCGCTGAGCTAAATCCCCAACCCCTAAATGGAAAATATCCTAATCAATGTTAGGTTAAAAAAAGAATTAGGGGCTGGAGATTTAGCTCAGGGGCATAAGCGCCTGCCTTGCAAGCAGGCAGTCGTGAGTTCGATCCCCGGTACCAATAAAAATGAAAAAAAAGACAAAAAAAAACCAAAAAACAAAAAAATAATTATATGCTGTGAAATTGAGAGGAAGTAATGTAGATATCTACCATTATAGTTTGGAATTATGTAGAACATAATCATATAATTTATATTTATATAAATCCTATTATACATTATATATTCTATAAACTTATATATATAATTTTTACATGGACAAGTAATGCTAAATTACTTCCAGTACTCCCACATGATGGATTGGTGTCCTTTACTACTTTTAAAAAAGGTATCTTTGGGGCTGGGGATTTAGCTCAGCGGCATAAGTGCCTGCCTTGCAAGCAGACAGTCGTGAGTTCGATCCCTGGTACCGATAAAAAGGAAGAAGACAACAACAACAAAAAAAAGGTATCTTCATTTTTTACAATCATTGTTTGTTTTATTTTGTGCATGAACTATACGGGATCTCATTATAACTGAATGCATAGTGGTTTTGACATTAGTATTTAATATTCTTTTATTTTCTGATTTATTTTGAAGGGAATAAAACAGAACAAAACAAAACAGAACAATATTGAATTTCAAAAACAGAGCAGGAGATTCCCCATAGTTGTTATATTGCATATTGTTATACTCTGCAGCTGTTCAGACTACTGGCCACAAGCCTGCAAAGTCAAGCAATCCATACAAGCATTAAGTTGTTTTTGTACCTTAGTTGCTATCATCACAACTTGTGTGCAGTGTTCTTCTTATCTCCCAGACTGTGCACTGGCTGGCTCATGGGAAAGGCAGGCTGACTTCCTGGTTTTTTTCCTGGCCCATGGCCGCTACTGGCTTAATACTGTCTTTTAATATTTTTTGGCACCAGGGATCGAACTCACGACCTCATGCTTACCAAGCAGGTGCTTGTGCCACTGAGCTAAATCCCTGACCCTCTTTCGTTGTTGCTTTTTTTTTTTTTTTCCTTCAGTACTAGGGATCAAACTCACAACCTCACACTTAACAGGGAAGCACTTGAGCCACTAATCTAAATCCCCAGCTATTAATATTGTCTTTTAATGTGTGTTGTCAGCTTATTTTTATTTAGTGTTTATAGAATATATAATTAAAGTGGATATAGAACTGGTAAGTTCTGTTTGAATCACATTTTATTCTTTTAACTTTTATTTTCCCCAGTCCTTTTTATGTTTGTGGACATAAAGATACATGTCATCAGTTAATGTTTAATGATAGAAAATGTCTTTATGTTTTTAGCAATATAATTATTATTGTAAAAATTCTTCCCAGGTACTTGTCTTGGGCTTTAGATACAAATCAGGAAGAACGAGACAAGGGTAAAACAGTAGAAGTTGGTCGTGCCTATTTTGAAACAGAAAAAAAGCATTTCACAATTCTGGATGCTCCTGGCCATAAGAGTTTTGTTCCAAATATGATTGGTGGTGCCTCTCAAGCTGATTTGGCTGTGTTGGTAAGAGAAACATTTTTAGTCCATATGTGTATTAGCAGTCCAATTTACATTGTAAATATTTGAATTTACCTCGTAAAAGTTAGAATTTAGGTGGCAGAGAATTGTAATAATGTATCATCACAGGTTTCATTTTTGTTGCACTAACTTACCTATGGAATTTTTTGATATTGAAGGGGATTGAACCCAGGGCCTTTGCCATATATATGCTAAGGCAAGTGCTGAATGGCTAACACCATCAGGCCAGTCTTCCGTGTTTGTTCATTTGTGTTTGGTATCTGAAGGCCTGTGCACTGAGTGAGACCGTAATCACCATGTCACTTGAGTTTGAAGGCTGGGCTCACACTTCCTGTCTCTTCCTCTCCTTCCTTAGCTTCCCAGAGTGCTGGGATTACAAGTGTGTGCTACCACTACCATGCTTGGCTAAGAAATCTTTGTAATTCTGAAACTACATTTTAACTTTTCTCTCCCACTGCTATTAGTGTGTCAGATTTGAGCACAGCCTGCAGAGTTTACGTAGTGAGACTTTGTTTCAAAAGAAAAAGCAAGTTCAGGTGTTGGAAGAAATGCTCAAGTTTCCATTTGTTTTTGGCACTTGGGCACTAAACCCAGGGCCATAAACATGGTAAGCACTTATTTTACACCTGAGCTATATATACCTTTTGCCCCAAACATTCAAATCTTTTTTTTTTTTTTGAGTCAAGCCCACTGTGTAGGGCAGGCTGGCCTTGAATTCAGTGTATCACAGGCTTGCCTCAAACTCATGGCAGTCCTCCTGCTTCAGCCTCCTGTGTGCTGGGATTAAAGCATGTGCATTATGCTTCGTTCCAAACTTCCAAATCGTAAGCCATCCAGACATTTGATTTCTGACACAGTATAACTCATTTGCGGTCTCTTTTCTTGGGAAATCCTCTGATACAAGATAAAAGATGTTTCACTTGGAAAGGTATGCCTAAAGATGTAAGAATAAATTACTTGGTATTTTGGAATAGGTAATCTCGGCCAGGAAAGGAGAGTTTGAAACTGGATTTGAAAAAGGAGGACAAACCAGAGAACATGCAATGTTGGCAAAGACAGCAGGTGTAAAACACTTAATTGTGCTTATTAATAAGATGGATGATCCCACAGTAAATTGGAGCAATGAGAGGTAAGGTTAGCTGTCACTGTTTTATAATGATGTTGGTAGAATAAAAGGTGCTTGTGATACATGTATCACATGTATACATGTATTTCACGAGTTTTAGTTGACATTATAATTGAGTTACTTGTAAATATTCATAGGTATGAAGAATGTAAAGAGAAGCTAGTGCCATTTTTGAAAAAGGTTGGCTTCAATCCCAAAAAGGATATTCATTTTATGCCCTGCTCAGGACTGACTGGAGCAAATCTCAAAGAGCAGTCAGATTTCTGTCCTTGGTACATGTAAGTAACCTTTTATTTTCCTTTTAAAAAAAGGAGTGGGATGAGGTATGTCTTAATGAGTAATTCAAGAAAATACTGGCTTAACCAGAGCTGTAACCTTGGCTTAAAATAGCAAGAACTTTGTGCCTGTCCTATCATCACCACACACACCATGGGACATTGGCATCACACCCAGGGAGGGCCTCACCTACGCTAGACAAGCATTTAGCCACCGAGCTAGGAGCTCCCAGGACCCTTTGCACATTTTTAATTGGGTTGATTTTTTTATGAGTCAGCACAGACTCAGGGTGCTCTACCATGAGTTATACCCTGGTTCTTTTTAAATTTTATTTTGAGACAGTGTCCAAATTGCTCAGGCTAGCCTCAAACTTGAAATCCTCCTAAGTGGCTGGGATTACAGGTGTGGCCCTCTATTTCTGGCTTTTGAGTCTTAATAGTTCTTTGGATACAAATACCTTATCAGATACATGATTAGTATTTTCTTCCATTCTGTAGGTTGCTTGCATTTTTTTTTTCTTTCCTTTTTTTTTCTTTTGATGCTGGGAATTGCATCTAGGGCCTTGCATATGCTAACCAGACCCTATACTGAGCTATACTGGCTATTGTCCTTCTTTACATTTTGTTTTGTTTTGTGTTTGAACCCAGGGCCTTGTGCCTGCTAGGCAAGTACTTTACTATTGACTTTTATCCCCAACCCTTGCTTTTCTGTTTGTTTTTGTTTTGCTGTTGTTTTTGAGTACTGGAGATTGAATCCAGGTACTCTGCCATTGAACTACATCTGCAATTTTTTATATATTTTATTTTGAGACAGGGTTTCTCAGTAAGGTACCCAGGCTGGCCTCAAACTTGTGATCATCCTGCCTTACCCTACTGAATAGGTGGAATTGTAGGCATGCACTAACCATGTCCAGCTGCAAAAGGTTTTAGTTTTGATGAGGTCAATTTATCTATTTTTCCCTTTTGGGAATGGTTCTTTTCATGTCTTACCTAAAACATTGCCTGATCCAAGATCAGGATCAGTCCTATATAAAGTCTAAGATTAAGTCTGTCTAGGTTCCCTTTGCTTTTGTATTTATATGTTCAAGTATAATTTATTAAAAGATTATTATTTATAAAATTGAGATTGGCACCCTTATTGAAAATCAAATGATCAGTTGAGTATGGTGTCACATGCCTGTAATCCCATCACTCGAGACTGAGGCAAGAGGATTACTGTAAGTTTGAGGCCAGCTTGAACTGCTTAGCAAGACCCTATTTTAAGAAGACCAAACCAAAAAGACCACAAATGTTCTAAGAGATTATTTCTGAACCTTCAGTTCTCTTCGTAATGGTCTTTCTGGCTGTCCTAGGCCAGAATCAGTCTTTTTATTTTTCTCTATTAGTGTATGTTTGCAAACAACTAGTCTTGATTACAGTAGTTTTTAAGTTTCAAGTCAATCTCGTCATGCTGTTGGCAAAAAAAAAAAAAGTTTCAAGTCAAAAGGTGAGTTTTCAATTTTTATTCTAATCTAGATTGTCTTCACTCCTTTCATTTTCCATGTGAATGTTAGGTTCAGCTTATAAGTGCTGTGTAATGTGCAGCTAGAAATAGTGAAGTCATCCAGTCCAGATAAAGAGGAAATTTTTTTTATGGAATTGTGACATCAGAGCTGATAATTAAATTTCAGAGTCTATAAAGACTAAGGATATAATAAACATATTATACAACATTTGGGCTATTTGCTAGTAAATATTTTCTAAAGTTAAGATAAATTTATGGGAGGAGTTATTATACTATATTTTTAGTTTGTTAAGGAATAAATGTGATGAAATGGGATCTACATGTTCCAAGCCTATACCCCGGCAATTGGGAGGCTGAGGAAGGAGGATCACTATGGGGTCATAGCCTGGGCTATATAGTGAGTTCAAGGCCAACCTGCAATACAAAGTGAGACCCTGTCTCAAAAACAAAAACGAAAAAAAAAAAAAAAAAAAAGAAAGGAAAAGAAATGACAATGTGATAATAAATTGAGTGCAACAGTATATGGGTTCACTGAAAAATGTCGTAACCACCTTTTAATTTCCAGGCCTATAACTTTTTATAATTTTGATATTCATGTTGTTGACTTCCTGTAATGTATATTGTTATGTTCTCAGTGGATTACCATTTATTCCATATCTGGATAACTTGCCAAACTTCAATAGATCAGTTGATGGACCAGTCAGGCTGCCAATTGTGGATAAGTACAAGGTACTTAAAATATTAAGTTGGATTTTATGAGAAGTGAAACATATTTTTGTGTTTTTGTTCCTAATTATGAAATTATTAACAATATAACATACCTCTTTAATGGCTGTATATTCCTTTGTGGTGTGGGTAGATCATAACTTATTCAGCAAATTTTACTTTTTTCAGCTGTTTCCCAGTGACATAGTGATTATTTCTTATGTGAATAACTCATACCAGTGAAACTTGTTGAGCTCAAACTATTTTCACATTAAAGTGTGATGGATAGTATGCTGGCCAGACATACGACACATGCCGGTAATTCCAGCTACTTGGAAGGTCAAGGCAGGAGGATTGTCTAGGCCAGACTAGATAGTTTAGTCAGATGCTCTCTTACAATAAAAGGACTGAACGTAGGTTTAGTGCTATATGGGTTCAATCACAAGGGGAGAAGGGAGTGTTATGATAATTTGTTAATACCACCAGCAGCCTACAAGTGCTGGTTTTATCATAGACTATAGGTGCTGGGGATCAAAGTCATGGCCCTTGTGCATGCCTTACCGTTGAGCTGTGCTTCTAACCTCCTTAGGGGTCAGCCTTTAAAAAAAAAATTAACTGTTAATTTTCACCGGATTTGATTTAGGCAATTCTTCTTAAGATAGCAAGAGGCAGTATGATGACCATTGTATTTTGTTTTTACATTATGTATTATGTCCATTCTTTTGATTTGACTGACTCTGTCGTGGTATGTCACATTTGGTTTTACTTTCTTAAAAAAAAAAAAAAAGTAGTAAGAACTGTGGGAGTAATAAAACCCAAAATGTGTAATTGTCATTGTACAAAAGAAAGGAAAAGTTCTCTAAAAGATATAACTGCATATATATTTAAGTGTATAAGATAGATAACCATATTACTGAGTTTTGTTGGATCATTGAACAAAACTGTTTGCAGTCTCACTGTTTGAAAGTCTTCTCTATATGCTTTAATTTTGTAACTTCAACAACTATTTCTAAGATGACAATATGTAATTAACTAGTGATTTCCTACTGTTTTATTTTTTCTGAAAGTCTGTATAACTTGTACCCTTTTTCTGTTTTTTTTTTTTTTCTCAAATAAAATTAAAAAAAATTTTTCCACTGGATTTTCAACTTGGTTTTTAAAGTTTTGTTTGGGTTTTTAAAAAAATTTTATTTAAGGAGAAAAAAAAAAGAAAAAGGGTACAGTTTTTAAAGTTTTATAGTATCAGTTTACATACTGTTTTGACCTTGTACCATGTTTTGCTCTCATTAGCTCCATTCCAAAGTTCTGAGTAAGTATATTTTCCCCAAGTTTATATATGTGGGGAAAGGCTTAGAGCTCAGTTGAATATGCATTTGTATAAAAAATGGAATTCTCCAACATAAAATTCCTATCTTTTATACCATGCTTTCTTTTTAAATTTGAGGCATCCTGAATATTATTTGTTGTGCATATGCTTATGACACAAATTATTACAGAGCATTTATCTCCCCTGTGCTTAAGGTTAATCCTAGGTATTCTACTATGTTAAACTCATAAGCATTGTAAAGTTTCTCTTTGTACTGTTCACCTACTGAAAAACAGTAATAAAAGTTTGCAACTTGATTTTTTTATTTAAAATTTGAACAGGATATGGGCACTGTGGTCCTGGGAAAGCTGGAATCAGGATCTATTTGTAAAGGCCAGCAGCTTGTAATGATGCCAAACAAGGTAAAAATTAGTAATGCTGTTTTCCATGTAGAATTTCTCTTGACTATATTAAGGAACTAGTGTTTTGGGGTTTTTGTTTGTTTTGTTTTTCCAAAACAGACTACAACTTTTCAAAAATTAGGAATTTGTATTAAAACAAACACCTTTCTAAAATAATGACTTACGTTTTATTGATAACAAGTATGAAAGAACATGTTTTTGTTGGTGACAAATAGTATTAACATCATGCTAGAGCTAACAGGGCAATGTAAAGAAGACTCAACACACCTATTACATAATAGGCAAGTAAAGAAGACATTTGGAATCCTTTAGAGGCTTCCTTCAGTTAAAAAATGGATTAGTAAGAGAGAGACAAAAACTCAGGTTTTACATGGTATACATAGTAAGCTTTCTTTTTTGTTGCTTGTGTGTGCGTGCTTAGACACCATAACCAAACACATATGTGGTTGCCTATTTCTGTGCTTTGATACCATAAAATGATGTATCCAAGCTATGCTTTTAATTTGTTTTGAGAGCAAAGAATTTGCTTTTATACTAAATGGGTCTTAAATTCTTCTTGCCTGATTATAATTTCATGATTGGAGTTGTATTAAAACATACAAAATCACTATAAATTATTTCTTTGTATTGTTTCTGATTGCTCAGTTGCTAATATTTGCAGGTGACCTGAATAGGTATATACTGCCAATGCAATGTTTAGTAATAACTCGCACTTTACAAGTTGTGCTTTGGAGTTTTAATCTTACAGCCTACTGTTCCCTGAAAATGAAACTCATGAATCTATATAACCAGTATTCAGAAAAATGTGAAAAAAAGCCTGATTTTTTTTCTGTGATTATCTCTTCAATATGAAGCTAAATAACTCAAAAATAATCATCATTTGGAGTTCTTGCTCAATTTTGTCACTGTAGAACTGTCAGAGAAGTCATGGAAATGCAAAGTAAAATAGGTAGTTGCAAGAGACTTGGGAATAAGGAATGATTGCTTACTAGGTAAAGGGTTTTCCTTTAGGGTGATGAAACTTTTGTAACTAGATAGTGATAATGGTTGTATAATACTGTGAATATATTAGATGCTACTGAATTAAATACTATAAATGGTTTTAAAAAGTAATTGTTAATGTTACATGTATTTTAGCACAACAGAAAATAAAGAATCTCTATAGGCAAGTGAAATTTGTGCCTAGGTATTTCTGCAGATGAGGGGCCTTACTAGTACAGAGAAAGAGTGGTTGTTATCTGTGATAGGTGTCAATTTATACTAATTACAGGGCAGTATCATAGTGTAATATACAGTATCATAGTTATTAATGAAGCCTTAAAATAGTTTAGATGTTTCAGTGGAATAGAGGCAGAATATTTTAAGGCATAACTGCCAAACTATTATACATTTAAAAATTAGTAAGTAGTCATCCTACTGGATGGAAGAAAATATTTACAAATTAAGTACCTGATAAAGGCTTAACATCATAAACATAAGGAGGCTGGGGATATAGCTCAGTGGCACAGTACCTACCTGGCAAGCACAAGGTCATGAGTTTAATCCCCAGTACCAAAAAAACAAAACAAAACATAAAGAACTCAAAGTAACTTAAAAACAACCATAGTCAGAAACAGCCAAAAGACTGGAGTAGACATTTATTCAAAGAGCTAAAAGATGGCTGGCAAGCACATGGAAAGATACTTTGCAACCAGGTATGGTGGTATACACTTGTAACCCAGCATTCTGGGAGGCTGTGGCAGGAGGATCACACCTTGGAGGTTAGCCTGGGCAGCTTAGTGGCTTAGACTCTGCTTCAAACTAAAAAACTGAAAAAAGGGCTGGGGATGTAATTTAGTGTGAAGATGCTGGGTTCAATTCCAAGTACTGCAAAAAGTAAAAAAATAAGTAAAGGAAGAAAGACACTTAGCACTTTAGGGAAATGGAAGTTAGAACTGCAGTGGTACAAACACCTCGCCTGGGGCTGGAGATTTAGTTTTGTGGCTTAAGTGCCTGCCTGGCAAGCACAAGGTCATGAGTTCAATTCCCAGTACCAAAGGAAAAAAAAAAAAAACAGGTGGGATGGTGCATGCCTGTAATGCTAGTACTTAGGAAGCGTAGAGGTAGGATCACTGTGAGTTCAAGGCCAACCTAGGCTATAGCAAGACCCTGTCTCAAAAAACCAAGAAGTAAAAATGTTATAACAAGTATTATTGGGAATATGGAAAAGTTGAATCCTTATGTAGATTAGTAGTGTGCAGCTGCCATAGAAAATAATAGCAATTCCTCTGATAAATTTTTTTTTTTTTTTTTTTTTTGTACCGGGGATTGAACTCAAGACCTCACGCTTGGCAGGCAGGCGCTTATTCCACTGAGCTAAATCCCCAGCCCTATTCCTCTGATAAATAAAGATAGAATTTCTACATGATGTAACAATACCATTTCTGAATATATTCCCAAAGAATTGGAAGCAGAGTCTCAGATATGTTTATAGCCCTTTTATATAATTCTACAACACCTGAATGACTAATATTCTGTCAGTGAATAAGTATGTGTGGTATACATATATAGTGAAGTATCTCAGCCTTATAAAGGTTTTGACATTTGCTACATGAATGAGCTTTAATGTTAAGTGAAATACACCAGTCACAAAAAGACAAATACTGTTCGGATTCTTACACATATGAAACTCCTAGAAAGAATGGTGTCTGCTAGGTCCTGCTGGAAATGGAAAGTTGTTTATTGAGTATAGTTTCAGTTTTGAAAGATGGGAAGAGTTGAAGAACAGTTGAACAACAGTGTGGATGAACATACTATTACTGAACTATACACTTAAAAATGATGGTAGATTTTGTTACGTGTATTACCATAAGTTTTAAAATTGCTAATGAGTGGTACAGTTCATTCTTAGCAGCATGGATGGGTCCCTGGTTTCAACCTCCAGCGCCAAAAAATAAGTAAATAAACAAGGCTTTATATTTTAATTATTCTGAGTAATCAACCAATACTTGTGACTCATAACTTTTAAGTAAACATTTAGGTCCAGGTCACACTATGTTTTGTAATTTGGCAAATATGTCAGAAAACCTCTAATTTTGTTTCTTTTTAAGCACAACGTGGAAGTTCTTGGAATCCTTTCTGATGATGTAGAAACAGATTCTGTAGCCCCAGGTGAAAACCTCAAAATCAGGCTGAAAGGAATTGAAGAAGAAGAGATTCTTCCAGGATTCATACTTTGTGATCCTAATAACCTCTGTCATTCTGGACGCACATTTGATGCCCAGGTAAACAAGTTACCACAGTTATCATAATGTATTAGTATTTAAATTAAATTAGAATTTTAGGGCCTTTTGTACTAAGTATTTGTGACTTTTTTTTTTTTTTTGGTCCAGGAATCAAACTCATGACTTGCTAGGCAGGCACTTACATCACTGAGCTAAATCCCTGGCCTGGTGACATGCCATTTAACTACTGTTAGTCATTAAAATATATCAACCATGATGTATATCTCACATAGTCTTTAATATATAGCACAAGTACTAATTGGATAGGGAGTAGTTTTCATAGATTTCTTTTTGTTTTGATCTCTGATAAAATTTAGAAAATCTAATACTTTGAAAAAGCAGATTTTTGTGGGGTAGGAGAGCCATTCTGGGGATTGAGCTCAGGGCCTTCACACTGAGCCACACCCCCAGCCTTTTTTTTTTTTTTTTTCTTTTTTTTTTTTTTTTTTGAGATGGGATCCTAGCAAGTTGTCTACACTGGGTTTGAATTTGGCAGTCCTGCCTCAGGACTTGAGTGCTGGGACTGTAGGCCACTACATTTGGGTTAAAAACAGATATTAATAGTGGTATATTATTAGTCTTAGAAATTGTATTGTGCCCATTTAGAGCAAACAATTTAGAGAACCACACACACATTTTCTCCATGTTACTAACAGTCTGAGTTCTCTGGGATAGTGACATAGTAAATGATTGGTGTGGAAAACAGGATTTCTGAGTATTGTTATTAGGTTTAATGACCAGTCATTAATTTTGCAAATAGTCCATCACTGGGCACATACCCAAAATCCTTTATTTTTTAAAAAAATTAATTTTTTGAGACAGGTTTTGCTATGTGTTCAGATAGGCCTTGACCTCAGGATGCAGCCCAGGCTGGCCTTGAACTCAAAGTGATCCTCCTGCCTCATTCTCCTGAGTGCTGGGATTACAGGTGTGTGTTCCCACGCCCAACCAAAAACCTTTTTTATATTTTATCCCCGAGACAGGTCTTATTATGTTGTCTAGGCTGACTTTGAACTTGTGAGCTTTTGCCTCAGCCTTCCAAGTATTTGGGATTACTTGTGTGTGTCACCTGCACTCCTTTCATTAGGGTTTGGTTTTTTGGGGTTTTTTGGTGGTGGTAATGGGGGTTCAACCCAGGGCTTGCTCTTGTGATTTTGATGCCAGATATAAAGGTATTTATTTTTACTAGACTTTGGTCATTGTGAGCTATGGCAAGTTTACATCTAGATAGTTTGTGTATGGTAATGAGTAGCTTAATATCTTGGAAAAATAAAGCCTTCGTATGATAAAGTCTACTCGCTACATTTTAAAAGTTGACTAGGCATTTGCAAGTTTTAGTAGAGAATATTGAAGATACGTGTTATGAGGTCAGGCAGCATTGACCCATCCTGTGAGTAAAATCAGAGTCATCGTGTCTGAAAAGTAGTAAGATGCTTAGTTGTATATTATATGGCACCTGGAATTTCTTTACCTTACAGATTAAAAATACTTTGTTTATCCAACAGATAGTGATTATAGAGTACAAATCCATCATCTGCCCAGGATATAATGCGGTGCTGCATATTCATACCTGTATTGAGGAAGTCGAAATAAAAGTGAGTTTTAAGATAATTTATGTAGTATCTTAAGACTTCAATTATGGGAGTTTCTGCTGGGCAGTAGTAATACACTTTTATTTGCACTTCTGAAAGTTATTTGTATTTGGTACTTTACTAATCTCATCTTTTTTTCTTGGATAGACCTTTATCTGCTTGGTAGACAAAAAATCAGGAGAAAAAAGTAAGACTCGACCCCGTTTCGTGAAACAGGATCAAGTATGCATTGCTCGTTTAAAGACAGCAGGAACTATCTGCCTTGAAACCTTTAAAGACTTCCCTCAGATGGGTCGCTTTACCTTAAGAGATGAGGGTAAGAGCTTTTAAATTGATGTCTAGGATGATTAGTTTTAGTGATCATCATCATCTGATTATAGTTCATATTGATGTGTAGCAGGTTCAAAGAAAACCAAGATTCATGGTCTGAATCATCCAATAAATGTTTTATGAGTTGAATGCAATAAATAGTAAAAAAGAATGGACCATGCGTTTTAGCAGTAATATTCTGTATAAAATAAGACTATTAGTAGTGGTTTGGCAGCTAAACTTACTAAATAAGAAATTTCTGTAAAAATTTCTTTGTAGTATATATAGGTTATACTGGGGTTATATGACTTGGTTTAAGGAAAAATCAATTTTTCTTCTGTACACTCATTTTTGTCTACCTCTGAGTGATGCAAAATAGCTATAACTTTCTTCTCAGTGTTATGAAATTATTTGGTGTGAAAAAATGTCATGAAACATTCCTTTACAGGCTGTTAGTATTTCTGGTTTTATTGGGGGGTGGGAGGGTTGCGGTTTTTTGAGACAGGGTCTCACTGTGTAGTCCTGGCTGGCCTCAAACTAATGGCAGTCCTCCTATCTCACACCTCCCTAGAGTTGGGATTATAGACATGTACCACCACACCCCATTTAATTGTAACTATTTTAAGACTAGAGAATTTTACATAAAATTTTGGCTAAATTGAAATAGTCTGTTTACATGATAGTTACAGGATAAGCTTTTGATACAGGAATAGCTCTTCCACCCTCCCACTTCCTGCAAATAAAACCTCCTTATTAAGATTACCTAACCAGAAATTCTGGCTTTGGTAATAAAGCCAGACAGTTAATAATTTACATAACAAAGTTTATGAATAAAATAATATAATGACTTGCTGTTAAACTATTGAAAGTTTGTTTTGTTCATTTTATTTCTAGGTAAGACCATTGCAATTGGAAAAGTTCTGAAACTGGTTCCAGAGAAAGACTAAGCATTTTCTCGATGACCCTGCACAATACTGTGAGGAAAATTGACTGCAAAAGCCTACTTCACACCGCCTTCTTATTTTCTGCCCATTTATAAACTTCTTCCCCATATTTTGCAAAAGAGAAAATTCATAGCAAAAGTCCACATTATGTCAGCTTTCTCATATTGAGAGCTCTGCTATGCCACTGTTGAGTTTTTCCGAAGATGAACCCCCCACCCCCACCCTACCCCACCCCAACTGCTTCCTTGGACAGATATGGCAATAGCTTTGTAAGTGATGTGGACATAATTGCCTACAATAATGAAAACCTATAGAAATTTTTTTTTTAATTTTTCATTTCTCATTAGGCATAGTCTTTTTTTCCCCAGGCAGATCATTCTGAGTGTGCGAGTGTGTGTGCACATGTTACAGACAACTACCATGTTAATAAAATATTCAATTTGAACCCCTTTTTGGTATTTGAATTGCTTTTGAATAATGTTTTTTATCTGGATGTAACATTGTTGCATTAGCTTTTTAACTTTCCCAAGTAATTAAATACATTTTATTACTTGGGCTTTTCTAAACTCTTTCCCTATTCACTACTTTAAATGAGGCATTTACAATGTTCAGGTTTGTACTAAAAGAAAGAAATAGTGTGATCCCCTTCTTTTGAATGGTTCATGCATACACAGTTAAATACCTTTGTGCAACTGTGACACTGCTGTACTCACTAGGTCTGTCAGTTATTTTCTGCCAATATTTTAACATAGTATGTTAAGCACAGTAGACTGTGTTAAAAAAAAAAAAAAAAACAGGACAAAATATTCTTTTCTATAAGGAAAGCTTAATGAAATTGTACCCCCTACAGAAAATTCCATTAACTGGTTTTAAATTAGTGGAATTTTACAATAAAGCATGTTGAGACTTGGCAAAAATGCCTCTTAGTGCTTAGAAGAGCTACATGTATCTAGTATGGAAACTGTACAAGTACCAGTTATACAAGTTACTTTGTTTCAGTAACTTTAAAGGTTGGAAGGTCCTTGATGGTTAAATCCAGTGTTAGTCCAGCAACTCATTGAACACGTATGAAGAATCAGCAAAATCTGCACAGACCAAAATTAACAGTGATAGAGTCAAGCACAGTATAAGTTTTAATCTCAATTATTTGAAATTAAGCTTTTTCTTTATTAAGTATAAAGCTGAAACATGGTATGATTTGTATGAACCACAGAGAAGCATTGTGATGGTTCTTAGAGTAAAGGCAACTTTCTGTTACAACCATGGTGACTGAAGTTTTGTGAGAATGAATTGGAAATGGAAGAGACCATTTCTAGGTTTATCAGAAGTCTCCATATTGAGTGAGTGTTGCCATGTGTGAAATACTTGGCCTCTTGTACATTGTGATTTATCTCTAAAGAAGATACTTTGTAATTGTGTGTTTAATAACATGACCCTTTCTCTGTAACCTTTTTCCTCAGAAAACAAAAGCCTAGTCACTATTTCCAGTCACAAAATATAAATCTGACAGTGTCTTAACTGTGGAATTCCCATTCATGAAATGAATGAGCCTACATCTTATGGACAGGACAAAGTTAAGTTACTTTATACAGCTTCTTACAACTATATTTATTGCTATTAAACTGCATGAAATTTAAGTTTTATGTCTGAAATTTTCTGGGCTTTTATTTTTCTGGGAAATACAGGAGCTCTAGTTAGAACGTAATTTTTTTGTACTTCCATGTTGATGAGTAATACTACCAATTGCTTGGATTTTAATGAACCTTTAGAAGTTCACAAGTCACTAAAATTATTTCCAAAGATAATTTCCCTTTTAAAATTGAACATTTTTAAAAATACAGTTGTGTTTGCTATTAATGCACACCTAGACTATTATGTGCATTTTGCCAAGACTCTCAGTAAAAGGAGTTGAGCAGCAACTGTGAAGGGCCTACCTCTGCAAAAAAATAAATGTAATTTTTAAAAAACTCATTGGACTCAACATATTTGCAATATTAATACTGTACATTTTATGGGCTTTGAAATTCTTCACAAATTATTCACCACTTAAAGTTGGTGTATTTTAAACTTGTGCTATACTTGCTAGTCATTTGATTAAGGAGATAAAATAACTGAAATGAACTTGGAGTGTGTGCAGATGTTTGTTGGATCTTTAAAGAGCAATACAAATTACTGTTCTTTCATTCTGTCTTCTGCAAGTGCAAACTGTTCATACGGTTGACAATGCAGAATAAGGCAATTGGTTGCATATTTAGCATATTATAAACCTAAAATTTTTTTCTGTATTTAGCATAGATACATTAGAACCATAATTTTATTTGCATCTTTTTATATTAATGATCTTTATACAACTTTCATGCTAGATTATTTAATTATAATATTTTAAATTAATGAACTGAATTTTAAAAGATATCATTGAAATAAACATCTAAGTAATTGCCATATTAAACTCTTTATTTCTTATTGTGGAAGAAGGGAAAATATATTTGTTTATAATTTGCAAAAAGAATTTATCCAGTGAAAATCTTTGTAAAATTGAACCAAGCAATGAACTGAGTGTATATCATCATGAAATTAACTGACAAATAGTAAAGTGTTCTTGAATAATTAAATCCATGTATATTGCTTTGAATTTAAAGTCTTGAAATGTGGTAACTGAATGTAATAACTTAGTAAACTGTAAAAGTACAGGTTAGTAACTGTAACGAGGTAATTCATACTTGTCTGCTAGTTACGAGAACTATAAGAATTGCTTTTATATGCAACTTTGGAAGTGAATTGTTGAAGAATTACTGGAATCCTCAGTTGAACCACTTTTGGATCATACTTAAAAACCAGATGCAGTTTCGCAACCTATGAGAAAGTTGAATCTGTGGGCAAAAACTACTCCCATGATGAACTTTTGGGATAAAAACAAAACAAAACAGTTACCCTCCCCTGGCAATCTTCAGGAACATAGTAATTACTTTGTGATCTTGGATGACTATTTACACGTGACAGCACTCTAGCACCTTTCCTTTTTGGCATGGACTTGTTCATGGACTGCTGCTTCATGGATGATAACTTCATTGCTTTGGGTAGAGACTAAAGGTATTCAAGGGACAACTGCCCAGTATTTATTTATAGCTCTTAACACTAGGCAACTTTCAACCTTTAAATCCTTTGTGAAAATTGTGGTTACAGCACTATAGCTCTGAGTTTAGAATGATTAAATGTTATATTCAGTGTTGGCCTACCTTATTAGAATAAACTGCAATTAATCCTCTCACAGACATGTAAGGTAGATAGATAGCAGTCAACTGGATTTGGAAGACTATCTGTCTCCAAATGCTGCCTTTATTTCCTCCAACTAATTTTTCAGTGATTCTAGCACATGCTATCTAATATATTCATAATCTTTTCCTTAAAGATCTTGCCATGGTAGCAGCCTGTTAAATAAATGTAATTATGTATGCACAACTTAAAAGACTTACTAGGTTTAAGTTTAGCAGTTTGTTACTTTAGATTTCATAGTAAGTGGGTTTTTTTCATAAATAATCAGTTCCATTTGAACCAATTTATTGCCAGAGTTCAGATAGGATAAATCTGGTTCACCTTTTTGGTTCTAGGATATTCTTGATTCTCAGTATCCTAGGACTGAGTCTTCCCTTTAATAAATATATTGTACTTCTCACATACCTCTAATTCTTTGCTTCCTTGAAACAGTAGTATGCTAGCTGAATCGTTTACAAAGGATTATTACAAAGGCCTGGAGGTGTAGGAGTAGAAAGAAAACTTTTTATGTTCTCCAGTGCAAGAAAAGTAGACAGGCACTAAGTCTGATTAGGCAGAAAACACAAGGATTTCTTAAAGCAAACCCTGAAATGGTAGTCTTTTCTGCCTTGTCATACACTGTTGTGCCCTTTAAAAAATTTAACATGGAAAATTCAGGTTTGTGGACAGCACAGATGAATGACATTTTGTGCTTCCTGAGGCTCCCCTCTGCCAGGCACTTAGATTAGTATGTTAGATGTCAGTCTAAGCCCTTGCTACCTCCTTTCCTGCTTCCCAGGGAAGAGTGTTTGTGCTGGAGCTGGAGCTCTGGTGCTCCTCAGGTGACCGTCCTCGCCTCCATTTCCTCCACATGCATTAGGTGAAACTAAGGCTTTAGCCTCAAGGTCTGCATTTTAGGGACTCGAACACTGGGCTTTCAGAAATGTACACAATTGCTTAGCTGCTTTTTCTTTTGAAGGATACATGGATATTTTTCAGGCAAGAATTTAATGACTAGTTTTTACCACATAGCCAGTTAATACCTAGATCTCAATTTTTAAAAAACAAGGATTGAAAGGGATCTTGCTAAGTTTGTTGAGTCTTTTAAACCTAATTCCAAAGCATTTAAGAGTAATCTATCTAGGTAAGAAAGAAACCTTTTTCTTATGATTTGTAGCTACCTACTGTGCCTGACTTAGTGCCTGTGTGAGGATTAAGCCCTTAGTCTGCTCTTGCAATTCAAATGACTGAAGTTAAAATTTTTTTGCTTTTATAATAAAAATTGTCATCTTCCCTTTTGACCAGTTTGTCTGCTTTTGTTTATAATTATCTGTGTTGTAACATTCCATTTTTTTTCTGTACACTCCTTTAGTTTTGCATGAAGTATTGGAATGTATCAGAATTGTTGGATGGTTCTAAAAGGCTATCAGGGAATTTACAAATGTATGTGGAAATAATATGGCAGCTTAAAGTGAAAACAGCAACTATAAAAGATGGATTATAGAAGGTGCTTAATAAATACTACAGTATGAAGTTTTATATGAAAAATAAGTTGGGGGGACAGTAATCGTTCTTTCAGAACTGTGAATTTCTACAGATTTAAGACTTCTAATAAAAATCAAGAGACCAAACAATACTTGCCCATTGTTGTGTAAGGGCAAGAAGAAACTAATGACAAGCAGAAATAGTATCCACAGTGACTAATTGGATGGCAACAATACTATGTTACTTTCTATACTCATCTTTTATACCATAAGGTAGGCCCAATTCCTGGCTTTAAATTTTAAAGTGAAAGCATTCTGTAGCTTTGTAGTATGCTGTTTGGCATCAAACCAGTCTTAGAACTTATGAGTAAGTTTGCAATAATCAAAGAGATTTACATTCTAAAGTTCTAAATAAAGGCTTTTGTGACTTTTCCCAGTATTGAGCATACTCTTCTACTCCTACATGACAAGGCTTCCAACACTGTCCACTGAATAAACATTGTGCTTTGTTGAAAGAACAACTTTCTGTAATGTTTTTGGGCACTAGTTATCAGCAGTGAGTAAAACTAATGGAGTTTTGCACTTCAGAGGCTGGGGCAGGAGGATGCTGTTTGAGCCCAGCCTATTTAGCCAACGTAATAAGACCTTGTCATCGAATTTCTACTGCTGTTTTATTGTTTAATTTTTTGTCCCTGGGATTGAACCCACCATCTCAGGCTTGCCAGGCAGGCACTTTTGCCCCTGGGCTAAATCCCCAGCGTTTGTCATAGAACTCGTAAAAGGGATGGGGATGGAGCTCAGTGTAAAGACCCTGCCTTCAATCCCTGCTGCCACTACCACCATCACCCAAAAAAAAGAACGCTGTAGCTTTGTAGTAAATGGTTGTCTCCTAATCCAGAATAAAAGATGACCAAAAATAATGAAAGCAAAATTTAAAGTTTTGCAGATTTAAAAAGGACCTAAAGAGAAAAGTTAGCATTTTTCATCATGGGAAAACACAGGGCCTGGCAAGTATTTTTCATTAACCCCTGTAATGACAAGATTATAGTACTTTTAAGTTTTTAGGGTCATTTTAATGCTATATGAATTTATTTTGAAATCCTGTCTCAAAAAACATTTAACTGAGGTGGTGGGTTAGGCATATAGCTTGCTGGAGAGTGCTAAGCAGGAGGTCCTGAGTTTAATCCCCCAGTACCACCAAGAAAAAGTCTGGCTACTAGTAATACATTTGACTTGTTTTGCATCCATCATTATGTAACTATATTTTGACTGAACTTTGTGTTTCCTTATAAACTAGTTATATACTTATAATTAATGCAGTCTACATCATAAAGTTCAGGTTGGCCTCAAACTCATGGAGATCATCCTGCCTCTCAAGTGCTGTGATCACAGGCATGTACCACCGTACCTGGTGTTCTACACATTGTTATCGTAATTCCTTTTTATTTTGGTGCCATGGATCGAACTTGCCAAACAGGCACATATGCTGCTGAGCTAAACCCCAGCCCAATTCCTTTATATCTACACTAAATCTCAGGATAATAAGTCTTCAAAGAATTAAGATTTTTAGGAGTAAATACAGTTTGTAAAGAGGTTCCAGAAGACAGAATTTATGTACAAAGGAAAAGACGTTTTATCAAGGTAAAATTTGCATACAGTGAAATGCACAGATTTAAATTTACAAGTTAATTGAACAGACCTTTGTACATATCCTGATGACATTTCCACTACTCCAGAAAGGTCTCTTCTATCCCTTTCCAATCAGTCTGCCAAAGCAATCAGTATATTGTCCTTTTTTGAACCCCACACACATAATGATACAGGATATCCTCTATTTTGTCTTTTATATGTTGTATCAGTAATTCATTCTTGTTTCTGAGTAACATATCCATTTTATTAGTAATCCACATTTTAAAAGATTTGACCTTAAAAGGGAGATTCACTTCTATTTTCCAGTTAGGATTCTTTGTCATGTTGGTTGCAAATACAACTTTTTATCTGATTTCATGAACCTCTTGACAATTTTGTGATCCTGGAGGTAGTGAAATAAAAAGTTCCCTCTAGCCTCCAGTCAAATCTTAAATGCTTTTGTTCCCTTTAATCTGTTTCTAAGTGATATTATCAGTTTTAACCCTGGGCCACACTTTCATGTTGCCTGGGTAAGGGTGTAGGACTAACCTTATTTGTGTATCTCTGGGCTAAATCCTCCCCCAACTTTTTTTTTTTTTTTTTGTTTAATGACACAGTAATTTCTTTATGTGCATAAATAATTTTTTAGAGATTCTTTTATTGATCCTGTACTATGACCTAACATGAATACTTTATAATGTCTATTTAAAATTTTCTTAAAGATGCATTTTGAACTTCATAGCTTTATCTCCAGTGGTGAAAGAAGCCAATGGGGAGAGTAACCTGTGTGTGTGTGTGTGTGTATTTAGAAAATAATCCAGGTATAGTGATGCACACCTGTAACATCAGCAAGTGGAGGTTGAGGCAAGATCATCAATTTGAGGCCAGCTTGGACTATGTATAGCAAGTTAAGGCCAGTGCAACTTAACAAGACCCTGTCTCAAATATGTAGAAAATACTTTTTTTACATATAAACAAAGATACAAACAATTGCAAAAAAAAAAAAGGAAATTAGCACATTAATATATCACATCTTAAAAAAATTTTTTTTTGGTCTTTTGTTTTTATTGGTACCAGGGATCGAACTCACGACTGCCTGATTGGAAGGCAGGCGCTTATGCCGCTGAGCTAAATCCCCAGCCCCTTCACATCTTAAAAGTAATTGTTCAGATTACAAGGGTTAGGCATGAAAGAAATGATCAAACAATGAAAACAAACTGATGAACAGAGATCTTTTCCTTTCTTTTCTCCTTTCCCTTATCCCAGTTCTTTCCTTTTGAGCACTTTTATCTTTCATTTTCAGAACACCTATTGTAACTTTGAATCTCTTTCAGTTTTCTTTTAACACTAGGGAAACAATATATTTATACATGCGAATGTAAGTAATTTTTTAAGAACACACTCCTCAGGGAACATAATTTCTCTAAGTTGAGATTGGTTGGATTAAAAAGTTAACTATGTTAAGTAGGGGGCTAATGTACACCCCGTATGCTTTGCATCTCAGCCTGTGATACCCACGGGGCCTACATAGAGGTACAGAGAATCAACAAACTCAGGTTGACAGAGCTGGGCTACTGCCAACTTCCTTTACATTTTCTTATCTCCACTACAGTAATCGAACTGTTCTCCAAGACTCCTGTCCTGTGTTTGTTTTTCTTTAAAGTAGGATCTATCCCCAGTGCCCAAAAAAAAAGAAGAAAAAAAAGGGCTGGGGATTTAGCTCAGTGGCTTAAGTGCCTACCTGGCAAGTGCAAGGTCATGAGTTCGATCCCCAGTACCAAAAAAAAAAAAAAAAGAATCTACTATCAGTTTCTTTTGGTCAGCCATTTCTTCCTTGCTTGAACATAAGTGCACTGACTACTGCTAGCCCCTAAGATACAATTTTATTTATCAACCCATTTAATAATGATTACATTATTCTCAGCAAAGGAAAGGAGAGCTAACTAACTTCATGTTACATATGTGCCAGACATACCATCTACCATTCTCTTAAATCTTACAGGAAAATAGCTTTATTTTACAAATGAAGAAATTAAGACTTGGCTAACCTGTCCATAGCTGGACAACTAGTGAATCACAGTTGGGATTTCAGATTCAAATCTGATTAACAGAATTATGTCCTTTCTGCCTTTCTAAAAATGTTACATTCTGTATTTAAGCAGAATTATTTCATCTCTTTCCTATATATTTAAGCAATATTAATTCCATTATGTCTAAGTTAATACTATGTAGCAGATTTCACTACCAAAATGTACTGGGTATCCTGAGGATAACTAACAAAAATTTTTAAAATTATTTTTAAATAATCCAGATATGGCATTTCTTTTGTCATTTCATTTGTCTGTTAATTGCCAGCTGTAACTACTCTATTGGCAGAGCTAAGAAAGAATTTTAACAGTTTTCAAACGGTACCTGTTGATTCTAACAAATGATTATTTTCAAGTAACTGGAATGAAATTCCTTCAGCTTTGCCACTTAGCAACACTCAAAGTTGCATTATTATCAAACCATCAATTAAATTATATAGTGCCACTTTGCACACAGTTAATGGCATTTTGTTAAGCAGGAACATTTTCAACTACTGTGGCAAACTATACACTCAAAGACAGATTCTGAATATCTTCACAGAGAAACAACTTGGTATTGAAACCTTTTTAAAAGTTTTTTATTTTAAAGAGAATAAAACCAAACAAAATAAATACAATAAAGCAAATCAATACAAAATAATGAAAGCAATACAGATCTTCAAAACAAGAAAACTGAAAATCAACAATGGCTACCATAATGCCTGTCCATATCATCAAACATTATAAAATCAAAACAGAACAGAATAAAACCAATCAAAACAAAATAAAGTGATACAGAACATCTTCAAACTAACTTCCCTTACTATCAGACATAATAAAATCAAACAAAACAAAACCAAACAATGAAAATACAGGACTTCAAAATAAGATGAAATTAACAGTGGCTAGGCTACCACCTTCCCTTATACATTTCCTCCCCTTTCACTTTCACAATATCTGTTGTACATTTTGGATCCCACTAACTTAGGTTTTTATACTAAGGAGACAACACGATGTTCACCCATGTGAGTCCAAACCACTTTACCCAAAAGTATGATCACAAGTTGCATCCACTTACCTACAAAAGCCTCAAGATTATCCTTTATAGCTGAGTAGCTTTAC